GCATCAGCTGTTCTCATGTCTCCCCACTTGAAGCACAATAAAGTCAAGTGAAATTCGCAATCTCTGCACTGAGCTAACCTCTGCACAGAACCTTCTTGTGAAAGATCGAGGTTATTTTTCTGATATGCCTGTTCTCTCCGTGGCAAATAACTGTAATGCCAAGGCATGATTCCAAATTAGTCATTCGCTACAATTTAAAAATACTTCACTCCAATATTTTGCCCCGACACAGCTTTCACCGCATTTCCTCAGGGTTCTTACAGCGTCTTCATATGAGGAGTCACAGAAAAATAGAGATTTGAGTCTAAAAAACCACCTCAGATACAGTAGTCTGTCTTCAACCAGGAACGCTTATCCCGCTTCTCCTTTCTATAATATCCCTTTCCCTGTGTCTGAGTGATACATAAAAATTTCAGAGTGAAGCAACACTAGAAGCCTGCAAAAACACATGATTTTAAGAGTGAGTGAGTGAGAGAGAAAGCAAGTCTCTCACATTCATCTCTCCGAATGACATTTTCTAAGGGAAAACCTCAGCTCTGGGCTGGTCCGAGCACCGCCCAGCTGAACCTGCTGCCTTCACGGATGCTTTCTGCGAGTGTACAATTTTTGTTTGGGATCAAACCAACTTAGATCGCCCGTGGTTCCTTTAAGTAAGTTAAAACCAGCAGTCGTTCACATCCAAGAGCTTTAGTCATCTTGACATTCAAAAACAGGTTTATTATATAAAAGCATGCTGATCCAGATCATCTTAAAAATTTCTAGCATAACTCCCCAAGGCTGTGAATTTCAAGAGGCAACAACACGAGCCTATAGATCATACTTCGGTAAGCCAGATTTCTCTCTCAAGGGTCTTATCTTCACCCATCACAACTTGTTATTTTGAGAAACAAAGACTTTTTTTTTCTTAACATCGTAAGTTTCAGGCACTCCATGTTTAAGCTGTTCCCATGCTGAGTTCCTTCTTTGACAACAGCACCTACCATTAGTCAACTCTATGATGACCCACCAAATCTACAAAGAAATCTACGTTGTCAAGGGTCTGACCTGCAGCAGACGTGGCTAGCACGTGACAGCAGCCCCTTAGGTAAATATCATCACCGTTCCTTTCTAAAAGCTGAGTCAGTCTAAGAAGCTCAAAAGGGCCAAGCGACGGGCCCAGGTCTCAAAAGCTACCGAAGCGGCAGACGGAGGCCTCACACCCAGACCAACTCCAAAGGCCAAGCTCTGGTTGCAGGACCTGCTCCTCCTGTGATGGGTACGTGAATTTTCCTCCCAACCGGGCTGAGAAGTTGGATTCTTTTTATATGCCTGCCTGTAAGGACTTTTTTGAGGACTTGCCTGTTTAACCATTTCACAACCTTGGCCATCCCCTACGTGACGTTTACATCACAGGGTGGTTTTTTAAAAGTTATTGGCTATACAGCTGCTATCTCTGTCTATGCCCACAGCAGACACAGAGGGCCCAAGGACTCTCTAAATTTCAAAAGAACTGCATCAACAGTTAGCAAAACTGCAGAGATGTGATAACGTCAACGCTGATACTACAAAGTTGCTGGCCCTATGTCCTATTACTAGGCAAATAAGAGTACTTATTTAACCCCAAAGTATCACCAATTGAAAGCAATTAACAGCGTTTCCAACCTAAATCAGATCTCAAGCCTCACAGTCAAGTAGCCTGACAAGAATCTGCACAAAAAACCTGTTGAAAATAATTTTTATTTCTCAGAAGCTGTTAAAAATTCACACTTTAGAGAGCACTTCCTTTACTTCAGAAATCTTTTTCAAGACACAAGCTTGTTTGTTTAATCGAAAATAAAAGCCCAGGTTTCACAAGCTAATGTTTAATCAGTAGCTGAGTCCCACCGGGTTCACAGACTTCCGTGAGGTCCTGTATCTGGAGCTGCTAAAAACTTCCTCTGTGTTCTGTGACCTAACATGCCACAGAACAATGCAAGTGGGTGTCCCAGTCTCACCACTATCCTGATATTAATAATGAGCGATGGACTCAGAAGAATGCCTCACGTGTACCCAATCTTTCTTTATGATGTGAATTCAGAGTCTGGCAAAAGGTGCCTAAGTATTTTCCAAGAGAAGAAAGGTAGGAATGACTTAACTGTAATCTTAGTTTGGTAACTGAAGTGCGTGTGTGTGTGTAAAAAACATTTGCTAACTGAAGAGTGTGTGTAAAAAACAGTGGACTTTCTCTCTTTACGTAAGCTTTCTAAGTGAGGACCAGCTCTTGCAGAAATACAGATTCTCAGAAAAGGAGCCCCCCCACTGAAGTGTGTGTGTGTGTGTGTGTGTGTGTGTGTGTGTGTGTGTAAATAACAGTGGACTTCCTCTCTTTACGCAAGGTTCCTAAGTGAGGACCAGTCCTTGCAGAAATACAGATTCTCAGAAAAGGAGTCCCCACCCCAGGGAGGACATAAGGGACGTAAGTGATAAAGAGATCCACTGTACCCCCCAAATTCAACCAAGAAATGCCTTCATGCCTGATGGCAAAGGCAATCTGCATATTCATAAAGCTCACCCGTGACTGACGGGTAAATGATTTTTTTCAACTTCAGAATCTAGAAACAATTTTGGATGACAAAGAAATCTTTGGATAAATGAACTTTAATTTAAAAGCCAAATTTTAGTTGACCATCTCATTTCCCCATGGCAAAGGCTAAATTTCAAGTATTTTTTCCAACCTATTGTTGATAAGCCATGCTTTCTCCAAAACATTATTAACTAGTTAGAACTTCAAGCAGCATTAAGACCAAGGGGGCAAAGACCCAACGCAACGAATCTACTCGGAATCTGAAAGTGGCCAGACTTCCCTGTGTAAGGAGAAGTTAATCAAGCCCCCAGTTAATCAAAAGCTTGAGAGTTACTGTTTTCAATGTTTAACTGTTCTTTTATCTCCCATGTATGTTCCAGAGGGCTTCCTCTTTCTTGATCATCGAGCTCACTTATCAGGACTAGCTCAAAGGTTTCTTTCTTTCTCTTGATCTAACACATCTTGGTCAAGAATCCATCTCCATTACCACTATTAAAAATCTCTTTTGAACGGAAATACAGACTCCCAGATCTATGTGAGATTGTGCGTCCTTCCCAATAATTTAACCCTGGCAGGTACTTGTCATCCACGTCGCAAGTCTCGCCATAATGCCATCCAAGCAACAAACACGAAGGGAAAATCTACAGGAGCTGCTATATGTCACCAAATAGCTCTTTATGTCTTTTTTAATGCCAAGATTTGATATTTCTATTTATGGATTAATTTTCCTGATTGCTTTGTCTCACTCCAACAAAAACATCAATTTTTTGACTCATACCTCCATAAAATTTTAAAAGAACGGAATAAAATACATGTTAAGAGATTTATAGGCAGACACATTTCCAAAGGTTCCTACATAGAATCTGTTTTCCAAAATATGTACAAATTCAATGAAGTGCAAAGTCATCTGGACACTTCCTGAATCCCTTCTGCATGCATATTCTTTATCCACTATCCTACTCTACTGCTAACTTTCCATTTCACCATGAATATCTTTCAATATCAACACTGACATTCCTCTCTGTAGTAGACTATAAGGAGGTACTTCCCAGGTCCTTTCTGGGACTCTTACCTGGGCTGCCTACACACTCCTCATAATGTTCACTCTTCTTATCTATCAGATCAGAAAACATTCACCTCACAAATATTTGATTTAAGGCAATGGCAGAAATTTAGTGATACACTACATGTTACAATGATAACAGTTAATACCCCACTAAAGGGCACTCAATGACATAACCTGGTGTGTCTCTGGAAACAATTATATTTAGCTTCCATTGTAGATATGCTTGAAAAATATGTCTTTACTAGAGACAGTACCTTCCACATTCTGTACCCAATTAACATCATTTTAAAATAACTCTTCACCTCAAGAGTATCCTAAACAGCCAAGAGACCTGATATGGTAAAGCAGAAAAATCACACAACTAGGGGAATCTAAGACCTGGGTTTTACTTGTGGCTCCACCTACAATTTAGCTGTGTCACCTTGGGTAGGTCATTGGACCCCCAGGGCCTCACTATCTTCAACTGCAAAACGATAAAAATTGTACTAAATTTTCTTTAAGGCCTCTTCCATCTCTAAAATTCCATGCTTCTGTGAAATTTCAGTCTCCTCTCAATTCAAAGATCAGCAGCAGCAGATAACATCAAATTAGCCTATTTTTTTCCTTAAAAAAAAATTATCCAACTTGAGATGCTTTCCTGGATTGAAGTTTTATCGGGTAAAATAAACCACAAACGAAAACGATGGGAGAAAAATAAAAAGAAAATCACACACTGACATAGCTAAAATAGAAACTTCAATCACCCCCTGGGCCATTTTGTCAATAGTTATTCAAAGGCTGCTACTCTAATCACTGGCTTCCTAAAATAAAGATATTTATAGAGCTGCTTCCTTCTCATCCCCAGAGATCCAATTCGAATAAAAAGCACAGCGTTTTGAAATCAATTGACAACTTCGGAAAGAGTTGCAGGGAGAGAAGGGAAACTCTGCGCAGCTCTCCAAAGTCATTTGCATTAAAAAGTACGATTAAGGCTTAAGAAACGGTTCTTATTATAAGATGTGAGGGGGGGGGGGAAGCACAGGAGGCAGGTGACATCTGGGGAAGGAAGCAGAACTGCCGGGAAGCGATGTAGGCTGAGGACCTTCGGGCAACAGGTCCAGAGCCGGGACCGCAGCCTACCCCAGGGAGGGGACGGGGTCTGCCGCCCGGCTCGCAACCTCCCCCCGGCCCCGAGCCCCATCCGCAGAGCCTCGCCCCCGCTTCGGCCCTGAAGCAGCAGCCCGCCCCCACCTCACGCCCCTGCGGCAGAACCTCCCTCAGCACGGGCTCCGCCAGGCCTGCCGCCCCGGGCAGGCCCTCCGCTTCCTCGGCGCCGAGGCCGGGCCGGGCCCGGCCCGCCGCCTCCACCCCGGCCGCCCCCCGCCGCCGGGTCCCCGCCCCGGGCCCGCTCACCTGCACCTGTTTGCGGAAGTGGCGCGGCCCCGGCGAGGCCCACGGCCAGGAGCAGGAGCAGCAACAGCGGCGGCGGCGGGGGCCCCGGCATGTCGCCCGCCGCGCGGCCCCGGGGGCCGGCTCTCGGGTCGCCTTCCCTCCTGTCCGTCGGTCTGTCCCTCGGTAGGTCCTGCCTCCCTCCGCTGCCTCAGCGGCACCCGCGCCGGCTGCTCTCGGGCACGCGTCGCTTCGGCCACACCTCAGCCCGGCTCCTGGTCCGCGCCCACCGCTCCGACCTCGGAAACACCATCCTTCCCGCCCTCCCGCCTGCCCGCGCCGCCGCCTCTCAGCAGCAGCAACGGCAACCGCTCTGCGGAGTCGCGGGCCCCGGCGGCCGCGCTCCCACCGCCATGATGGGCTGCGTCATGTGACGTAGGGCGGGGGGGGGGGGGCGGGACGCCGTGATAGACAGCCCGTCCCGCCAGTCGTCAGTTCCACACCGGCTCGGCAGGCCCTGCCCACCGCCCTGGCGGAGGGACGGTGGCCACCGGTGCGCCCCCTGCAGACACAGGCGTGCATGGGCAGCAGGTGATGCCAGCAATTTTTTTTTTTTTTTTTTTGGAAAAAAGGTAAGTATAAGAAGACGATGAAAAGCATCCAGAATCCGTCCTGAATTTCTTTCTCAGTATTTTAAAAAAGCGTAAAAATAGGCCCCTTTTGTCTTCAGCCTTTTTTACTTGTAATAGGCCTTTTAGACTCTTCTTAGTTTGACCTATTCAGCCACCGAGGAGCTTTGGGCTTTTTTATTTCAGTTCGACAAGAATAGAATACTGTCTCCCCTCGCGCCTGCTAATTCGGCTCCTGAGCTCAAGCTGTTCCCCTTGACAACGGTGCCCTTCCTGTCCTTTCTTTGCCACTTGGCACACTCCCTTTCCATGGCGGAGACTCACCTGAAGAATACAGTCATCTAAAGAAGCCTCTCCCAACCCCAGGAGAAATGACTGTCATCTCTTAGTGCGCCCGTGGCCCTGGCCCCACTGCTATCCTGGCTGCCAGGCTGTATTGTTCCTGTGACTGTAAGCTCCCTGAGGACAGGAAAGGTGCATGTGTCAGCGGTGGGTGCCTGGCACCAACCGGAGGCCTGGCTCCAGGAGACATTCTCTACAGGAGTAGTACCTGGCCTGGGTGCCCGCCTCTCCCCACCAAGAGACAAGGCCCGGCCTGCAGTTGAGGAGAGACCATCCTACTGCAGAGAGGCGAGAGAAAAAATATTTTCCAGGTAGAAGTAACAATGAGCAGAATCTTGGAAGTTGGGGAAATGCTGGGCTTTTCCAGAGAACGCACTCATAGTCCAGTGTGTGCATGAGAGGGACTGACTTGAATCTTATCAGATGGGGCACTACCAGCTGGCGGCAGGGGGCCTCCCCAGTTCTCTGGACTCCTCAAGTCCTTCTCAAATGCCAGCTCTCTGCGGTGCTGATCCCTTCAGGACACACAGACCATGCCCAGGGAGTATTTGTTGGACATATAAGGCAAGACAATAAACACCTAAGTAAACAAATAGCTGGAATGTAGAAGTGCTGGGTTAAAGCATCCATGGCTGTCTGCTGATCTCTATGTGCAAAAGGAAAGGAAGGCAAAGGTCGAGAAAAGAGACACAGTCACCTGTTGTGCTTCTACTTTCTACTGGGATCAGGAAGCTCTAGACTGCGAGTTTCAGGGAACCGGGGAATGCTCACGCTGTGTCCCAGGAGTCGTCCCTGGATGTGTCCACAGCAGTGCTGGCCCAGCCAAAGCCCTGCCTCGTAATCCTCATGGTTGTTAATCATAATTAAAGTGCGCTCCAACCACAACACGTCAGATCACAATCCCAAAGCAGGTTTCGTTATTACTCAAGTGGCCCAAAAGTTTTTTAGAAAACGTTTCTCCTTTCCACTTCACAGAAGAGGAGTTAAGGTACACACTCCTTGGACGGTGTCTGATGGAAAGCTTTACCCGACAAACTACCTGACTGCTCACACCTTTGCCCAGTACTTCTCTTGAGGTCTTGAAGACTTCCAGTTAGAGAATTTGCAAAGCAAATGAGAACCTGTTTGCTTTGTTTCATTTCCTCTAGGAATCACAAAACAGCCTTTGGAACAACCTGGGATTAGATCCCTAAAGTGAGAAGCCACATCTTTCAGGGTTCCTGTGGCTGTTCCCCGCTGTGCTCAGGCTTTTCCAGTTTCTCTTTTAAGCCGGGCCATCGCTACACAGGCATCGTCTGTCCTGCCAGCAAGCTCAGGCTGAGGGCTGGAGTCACGGGGATATAGATTTTGTTTAGTACTGGATAAGCATGCATCTCTGGGGATCTGGCATTCAGCAGGTACCCTAAATGTTTTCAGGGCTGAGCTGGATCGAATGCGTGAATCCAGAGGGTTCTGTCAGTGGTATATTAAAAGACAGAAAATCATCAGTGTTGGTGAGAATGTTTAGGAATTGAACCCCTGTTCTTTGCTGATGGGAATGTAAAATGGCACAGCCGATTTGGAAAATAATCTGACAGGTCCTCAAAATATTAAACATACAGTCACCATACGATCCAACAAATCTACTCCTAGATATATACCTACTATAAATGAAGACATATGTCCACATCAAACCTTGTCCACTGACATTCATAGCAGCATTGTTTATAATAACTAAAAGATGGAAACTAACTGATGAATGAATCAACAAAATGTTATATCCTTGTAGTGGAATATTATACAGCAATAAAAAGGAGTGAAGTACTGATACATGTTACAGCATAGAGGAACCTTGAAAACATATGCTTAGTGAAAAGAGCCAGTCACAAAAGTTTATATATTTTATGATTCTATTTTTATAAGGTATTCAAGTTAAGCAGATCCACGTGGATCTGCTTAGGAATCCATCAGTTCCTAAGGTGTGTGGTTGCCTAAGGCCAAGGCAAGAAATGAGGATTGACTGCTAATAGGTGTGGGGTTTCTTTGGGGGCTGTTTGAAATATTCTAAAATTAAATAATGGTGATCCTTGCACAACTCTGTGAATATACTAAAATCCATTGTAAAGGAGTGAATTTGGTGGTTTGTGAATTATATCTCAAAGTTGTTATTAAAAGCAAAAGTTCCAAATTCTAAAAAGTCAATTATGTTACTCCATTTACTGTTATCTATGCTTTGGGGTTATTTATATCGACCATAGCTATACAGTAGAAATGGTATATAACTCCTCTTGCCAACTCTAATTCCTGTGCTATCATGCCTGTAGCTTGAGTATTTACACCATGGAAATTGGCAAACAGTACCGATCAGAGTTCTCTTCCCCCTAGAGAACCACTTGTTATGTGCACTATTGGTCTTGCCATAGGGCACCCTCCATGAGGTCCCTATGACTGCCCCTTGCTGACCTGAATCCTTTCTGTGGTTGCATTACTTTAATTCAGCTCTGAGCAAATAAAGAGACCACACAACTTAGAAGTCACCTCTTCCTAGTCCTGTACCACTGAAATAAAGGCCACACACCTCATCCCCAACTCTCCTTCTAAATGCCTTTGTGTGACAGTCTCACCTTTTGTTGCCTTTTAGATCCTTTGTCTACAGCTGAGTCAGGGACAGCTCACCAGAAGTGGTGGCCATTCAGAGTCTAGAGTCACCACCCATTTATGGAGGGGGGAAGGGCACCAATATGGTAAAATGAATGAATGAATAATGCTATCCACAAGATAAGTTACAGGATTTACAAAAAGCACTCAACAGACAGTGAGGTTCAGGAAGGGGATATCACTTTAAAATCGCGTTATAAGCATATCTCCCCCAAGCTCAACAGGGTGAATGCCTTCTTGTGGAAGTGAGTTTTACTTAACAGTGACTGATGAAAAAAAAAACCCAACAGTGACTTATCAATCATTTTCTGTGTGTCAGGTTCTGCTCTAAGCATTGTGTAAGTAATAACTCTTTAAACTTTATCTAATTTTAGAATATTTTCATCATCCCTAAAAGAAATTCTGTACACATTTGCTGTCGCTCCCCATTTGCGTCCCTCCTCCTAGTCCTCGGAAACCACGCATCTGCTTTTTGTCTGTATATCTGCCTGCTCAGAATCTGGCCGGCTGAAGTGGACCCATGAGAGGACTCCAAGGCGCCAGAGAATGACGAAGACATTAGATGGACGGATCCTGAGTCTCTGAATGACTTTGTGCGGCAGAGCTCCCAGCCCTGCCACCACGTTAGACTGTGCCATGCCGAGCATGCCTGCTCAGTCGTGTCTGATTCTTGGTGACCCCATGGACTGTGGCCCTCCGGACTCCTCTGTCCGTGGGATTTTCCAGGCCAGAATGATGGAGTGGGTTGCCATTTCCTCCTCCAGGGGGTCTTCCCGACCCAGAGATCAAACCCGTCTCCTGTGTCTCCTGCATTGGCAGGCAGACTCTTCACCACTGAGCTATCTGGGAGGTCCTTTATCTCTATGGATTTACCTACTCTGGGCATCTCCGATAAATGGGATCATTCAATATGTGGCTTTTTGTGACTAGCGTAAACTACTGACATTCCCTTTTTACAGACGAGGAAACAGCACTTCAGTGAAGGTCACACAGCTAGTGAGTGGCAGAGGTAGGATCCAAACTCAGGCAGCCTGGCTCCAGAGTCCTTGCTGAGTTTCAAAATTAAAAAAACTGAATAATGTCAGGGATTTCCCTGGTGGTCCAAGACTAACACTCCACCTTTCCAATGCAGAGGGACTGGGGTTCAATTCCCGGTCAGGGAACTAGATTCCACATGCCGCAACTAAATATTCCGCTTGCCACAACGAAGATCAAAGACCCCGTGTGCTGCAACTAAAAAAGATCATGCACGCTGCCACAAAGACCCGGCGCAGCCAAATAAATATAGTTTTTTAAAAAACTGAGTAACATCAAAAGCGTACGCTGAAGACCTTTTGTGAATAGGGCTGTGTGCCAAGTTGCCATGTGTGCGCCACCCCCAGGCCCTCTTAGGGGCTTTCTGGTGGAGGCTGAGGTAGGGGTGTGGGAAATAAATAGTACCCTGTAGGCAGTAGTTGTTCAATAAAGTAAATCTGTCCATTGCGAGAGACGGAAACTCCTCCAGCAATGAACGCTTGGGTTTCTTCTCTCTTTGGTCTACCCAGCAGCTAATGCCTACCCTTATTGAGAAAGCAACTGATAGGAATCTTGGCAGTCGGGAGGTCACCTGCCACCATGAGGTCTAGGGACCAGGTGGGCCTTCTGGGGCCCCAGCAGCCAGGACACGGCGCACAATTCCAGGTCCAAGGTGGTGTCAGCAGCTGCGTCATCCTGGCTCATGCGTCCCTCCTGCCCGGCCCCGTTGGTGGTTACTTGTGTCCCGGGCCCAAGCCCGGCTCTTTGGTGACTGTCCACTGCTCCCCCGCCACGTCTGGGCCCTGTGCAGCCTCCCAGAGCATCAGAGGATCCTTGAAACCAAGTCTCCGCTACTTCTGCGAGCTTCTGCGGGACTGCTCTTGGATCAGACCCTCAGGAATTCATCGAGCATCAGCTACAGTTGGTCCTTGCACTGGGCAGTGAGAGAAGATGCTGGGAAATCTCGGCTTGCTGCCTCCCGTGGTGACCTGTCCCTGTCACTGTCTGACCCCTGGACTCCATGCCATCATTCCGCAGAGGCGTTTTCAATCTCTGAGCTCATCGGCGCATTGCTGGTCAGCCTCCATTGAAACAGAAGTCCCGTGAGGGGACCCCTCTCTGTGGAGCTATCCGCTGCATCCTCACTGCTGGAATGCACCTGTCACCAGTGGATGTCCGGCCACCACTGTTGAGTGGCTGTGGGTTCGTGGCGTGTCGGGACCCAGGCGGGCCTTAGTGTCCAGCCGGTGTACCACCTCACAGTCTGCAGGCTGAGCTAGAGGCGGGGCTGGATGGGCACCCACCCCACCCCCCACCCCGGAAGCTTCTCCGGAAAATCTGGTGCAGGTTGAATCCTCTTACCCTCGTTCAGCCAGATACAGGGTTTTACTGTGACGCCTTCTGCTTCTCTCTGGGCCTCCCAGGTGAATCCACCAGTCAATGCAGGAGACACAAGAAATGCAGGTTCGATCCCTGGATCAAGATGATCCCAGGGAGGAGGAAATGGCTAGTTGCTCCAGTATTCTTGCCTGCAGAATCCCATGGACACAGCAGCCTGGCGGGCAACAGTCCATGGAGTCTCAGAGAGTCGGATGTGACTGAGCATACACCCGGCGTCTCTGTCACATACACTCCGCTCTTATCTGACCACCGCCGTCCGCGGGGTCGCCGCATCCCTCTGCACCCCTCCCTTCTGCCCCCGTCCACCTCCTGCAGCGTCACTACTCTTCTTAAAAGCATCAGCGGCGCCTGTCCACCCAAGGCCTCCCACTGGACGGGCCAGCAGCCCTCCCTGCCTCTCTTCCACTCACACGGAGCCTCTCACCTCGGAGGTGTTCCCTCCACCTAGAAGGCCTTTCCTTCTTGCTGTTGATGCAACTTGCATCTGCTGTCCACACGCCTCTTCAGATTGCTCGTGTCTGTGGACTGAGGGCTTCTCTCGGGCAGGGCATATGCTCTCTTCGTGTCTGCTCCTCACCCATCACTCATTGGTGATGTCAGTAAACGTAGGAGGTGGCTGTGACGCGTTGGGCCGGGTTCCAGGGACCGGACTGAACACGAAGACAAGGCCTCTGCTGACGGAGTTAGTGTCCTGGGACAAGGAGCGCCAGGCTGCTTTGGGAGGCCCCGCCTGGCTCAGCGTCCCGCGCCCCAAGCCCGTAAAACAGAGGCTGACAGACAGGGGTGACCACGTGCGTCAGCCCCGCCAGGCCGGCCTGTGCAGGGGAGTTGCACCAGGGCAGGGCTGGCACGTGCGCCCCAGGTGGCTGGGCAGGTTGGCTGGGGCCTTGCCTGGACCCATCAGCTGGTGAACATCATCCTCCTTCGGCAGTGGGCCAGAAGGGGATTTCACGAGGCGAGGCATGGAAGCTTCGAGGCAGAGGGCCTCCTAGTTTCCGGTAATGTCACCCAGTCCCATCCAGGGTCCCCGGGGTGTTCCAGAGAGGAGGCAGCGGAAGGGGAACTTTCCTAATTTTTTTTGTCTGACCCTAAAGGCTGGGGAAACAAAGCCTTCATGGGACCCCAAAGACAACGACAAGTAAGGAATCAACTCTCCCAGAACCAAACTGGCCAGAACTGGGGCTGAAGTCACCCAGACAGACCACAGGCCGCTGTTTGCAGCTGGTGCCTGATCCTGCAAGGCTCTTTGGGGCTCCTCGCCCAGCAGGAAGCCTTGGGTCACGAGCGGCGCCCCGGGCTCTGCCCCGGCTGCCTGCCAGGGCCCCAGTCAGGGCGGCCCAGGTGACCTGCACCTCCCTGTGCCCCACCTGCTCGTGCCTGAGGCTGTTTAGGGCAGTTCCAACATCCTCCGACAGGTGTGGTTCCTTCTCTGATGTTCAGTGAATTTATCACAGGGAGCTGTGGCCGTTTTTAAAACTGCCAGGCTTGATTGGAAACAGCCTTTGTGCTGCTCCTTACACATGCGGTTGTAACCATGAACCACGGCTCTTCTGTGAGGGTGAGTGTGTGTCCCTCTCTCCGATTCCAGGGACAGACAAACCAGACACTGCTGAGGATGCTCCGTCATGAGCTGTGTCCCGGGTGACACATGGACACATCCTGTGCGTTACTTCACTGCGTCCCGGAAGGACTGGAGCCATGCCCACTTTGCAGGTGCGGATAGTGGGGCATCTTAGTTTTCCCTGAGGATGAAGAGACTGTGGGGTGTTTTGGGGGCGGAGCTGTTTGTTTGTTTCTGGCTATTCTGGGTCTTGGTGGAAGCTCAGGCTTCTCTAGTTGAGGACAGTAGTTGCAGCTCGAGGGTTTAGCTGCCTCACAGCACGTGGGATCTTAGTCTCCCAACCAGGGATCAAACCCGTCTTCCCTGCATTGGAAGGTGGATTCTTAACCACTGGAGCACCAGGGAAGTTCTCGAGCTGCTTTGGAACAGCAGCAGGAAGGGCTCACAGGGAGGCTGACCTTCCTCCATGAACTTCACTTGGGTCCAGGGCCACAGTCTCCCTCCTCACTCCTGATCTCTTTTTGGGGGAGAATGGCCTTGTCCCAGCTGTTCACCTTTCCTCGGGGACAGCAAGGCTGCCGCCGGTGAACAGGTAAGGCTCATCTCAGTCCAGAGGGCCTGGCGGGACCCCAGGAAGGACAGGGCAGAGGGGGCCCCAGCGTCAGGGACTGACAGCAGATCTGTCCTAGGACCTGAGAAGATGAACCGCCTCCAGCAGCCCTTCAGCTGGAGACGGAGATTTCTGGCACCCAGGAATGTCGGGCGTGAGTGTGTGGACACCTCCGGCCACCCCCGGAACTGACCTTTGTCCTCCTCTGCCCGTGCTGCGTTTATGTGGGTCGTGCTCAGCCACACCCCAGATTCCTTTCAGAACAAGCACTGGGGACTTTCTTCTTATCAAGATGGGTAAGGAATGGGAGCCACGTAAGCTAACAATTGCCCGGCAGAAAACCAAGCACGAACTCCTTTACCCTTCAAGAAAGCATTTCAAGGACTTCCCTGGTGGCTCAGCGGTAAGGAATCATCTGCCTGCCAACGCAGAGGACGTGGGTTTGATCCCCCATCCAGGAAGATCCCACATGCCTCGTGGCAGCTAAGTCCATGTGCCACAACTATTGAGCCTGTGCCGCCAAGTCCTGAGCTCAGGTGCCCTTTCGCCTCAAGAGCCCAAGTTCCGCAACAAGAGAAGCCACTGCACTGAGAAGCCGGTGAAACCAGAGAGGAGCCCCAGCTCCCCGCATTAGAGAAAAGCCCACGCAACGTCGAAGACCCAGCACAGCCAAAGAAAACAAATGAATAATAAAATACAAAGCATTTCAAGGAAAAGACGCGAGGCCTCCTGAGCCATTCATATCCAGGCTGGTGAGAGAGCTGGAGGAGGCGGGGAGGGGGCACTGTTCCCAGAGGTTGCCCCGGCTGATGAGAGGCCTGGCCAGGGAACCAGGGTCTAACAGAGCGGGCTGTTTGGTACCCAGAAGGGTCTCGCAGCCTTGCACAGGCCCTGAGTGCAGAGACGCGAACAGGGAGGCATAAAAACCAGAAAATCACAGTCGCAGTGAGGCCGTATGAGAAAGGGAAGCGCGAGGCAGGAGACAGAGGCCAGAAGGCCTTAAAACGCAAGAAGAGGGATCAGGTAGAAGCGATCGGACTGGAGTAACCACATTAACGAGCAGAAATGCCGTGTTGCCATATTAAGTCAGAAGAGGCAGCGTAGTCCCATGTTCATATTCATATGCAAATCATTCATATTCATAAGGCCTGGGAGGAAGTCACCAAAACACTAGGATACTAACATGGTTATCTCTAAGTGCAGAATTATGGATGCTTCTTCATTTTTTTTCTGCCTTCCTTAATTTATTCATTTATTCATTTCTTTCTTTCTTTTTCTCTCTCTTTTTTTTTTTTTTTTGGTACTTTCTTACTTTTCTATAATGAGCCTGAAGTATTTCATAGGGGAAAAGGGGAAGCTTTGCTTTCTGTGTGTGTTTATTTTTGTTTTTAAGCCAAGGGATTTTCAAAGACTCGACTCACTCAGTGACATCCAGTCAGGGACAGAGACCTGGTCACCAGCATCGCCTCCCGAGTAGAGAATCGTGAAGAATTTTTAAAACTGGCTTTCTGTCGTGGAAGATCTTCCAGGTGGCCTTAGGACAATAACATCCATTTCTAAACATTTGTACTCATGGCATGAGGGTGCCGCTGCTCCTGGCCGAGCCAGTCCGTGTTTTATGGTACACCTTGGGCTCCACTTGCTTGATTATGAGCTGTTATCCTCACCAACTCTCCAAATCTGCTGCCTGCTGCGAGGTGTTAAAAAAAAAAAAAACCCCTTTTTTTAGAGAGATAATTGAATCGGCTGAGGGCAGTGGAGTGTTTTATTTTTGGTGGGGTGGTTGGCCATGTTCCCTGTATTCTCTTTACATCTGACTCGAGAGGTTGCTGTTGTCTGGTGGTGGCGGGGAGCTTTTCGCTTTGGCCCTGTTGCATTGTTTCTGAGCAAGGTATAGAGCCGCGGAGATGAAATTGTATTTGTCGTGTCTTTATTCAAATCTGGGTGTCTGTGTCTATGCAGAGAGAAGCTGGAGCCACTGGCTGGCTTCTGTGGGGAAGGACGAGACATCCTGTGCAGATTTTGAAACATCACAGCAGAGATCGGCACCTTTCCGTGAGTCAGGTGTGAGAACTCAGGGGGTCGGAGCGCCAGGCCATCCGCACGGGCTGCCTCCTTTATGCAAGAACAGGGCAGGGTTGG